TGATGATGATGGTGATGATGATGTTGATTATGATGATGATGATTATGATAATGATGATAAAGACCCAGTTGACTCACCTACGTGTGAGACCATTGGAGGAAACAGCGCACCATTTGTTAAACAGAACAATCAGCCGATATTCAAAACAAATTCTGCAGTTATCTCATACAACCCTCAGTCCCTTTAAACTCGTTTTCATGGTACTAATTTTCACTTCTCCAAACCTTCCACAAATTTCGAAACATGCATTTCATTATTTGTTCCGTGGAAAGTTTGTTTAAATCGTCCTGTTTGCGGATGAAATCGTTTGAGTCTTTCGAGCGTTATTTCATTTTCTGGTTAAGCCTCCAGGCTGAATAAAGCGTGAATTCTGTTGCTGGGTCATCGATCGTTACGTTTTGACTGTAGCTGACAATATTTTAGGTCGACCTTAGAAGTTTGTGATGACATACGCTTCACTGAATCAGTTCGATGTGACAGCGTATGTCGCATGTCATCCAGAAAACGCGCTCTCTTTGTTACTGAGGTCCTTAGATTACCCAGGAGTTTACGACTCTCAAAATGCAGGAAAATATTACCATAAACGGAACACCCTACTAACGAGATTGCTGAAAAGTCTTCGACATTCCATGACCGGTTCTGCCCTTCTTGGGGCCTATCACGCAGGCGCAGTCGCCGAGTTCCCATCAACTTTATGTATTACTTAAACCTAAATTAGGTGAAGTTTGCAGAATTCACTCAACAGCACACCAAGTTTTGTTTTTGGGAAAGATTCAACCGAATTCCATCTTAATCACAGTATGATATTTTTCAGCCCAATGTGTTACGGTGTCCCGAAAATTGTTCCAAATGAAACCGGGGATGGGTTTATACTAGTGTTTAGGTGAGTCCCCTTAAAATCAAATTAGTGAGTAAATGAGTGTGCGTAGCGGAAATGTGATCATGGGTGAACCATTATTGAAGGCGATCGCAGAATAGCAGGCAGAACGAATGGAGAACGTAGTCTCATGAGTATAATCGGGATACTGATAGATGACAGAAGTTAGTGCTGTTTATATCAATGAGGTTTATTGATACCAATTTCAGTCAGACGCCTGAAGCATGAACGCTTTCCCATTGCACCTTGTAACTGATTTTCAACCGTATCTTCATCATTCATTCATTCGTTTTAGTTACCCTGGAAGCTAAAATCTGCTGTGAGTGATTTGGCTTTTGGAAAGGTAAGAAATTAGGTACTAAGCGTGATATTATCAAGAAATACCTCAAAGGGTGACCGAAAAAACGAAAATCTTCCTCAAGAATAGCAAGAATGTATTCTCGCTGGATCCCAAAGTCAGCATGTCCGAAAGCAGATCGAACCGAATACTTCGCGTTGAACAAATTAGAAAAACGAGTCGCTCCAAATGTTCGTCATAAGACAACGATTAACGCCCACAATTCCACACGATTTTCATGTTAACGGGGGGGGGGAACTGATGAAGGAAATAACCTTTCTACTCTGCACTGTTCACCTTTGGGATGTTGGAAAAGTGAGATGTACTATCTCATGAGGGTCTGAACGCAATTCCGTCGTTTATTTTGTTTTACTGCTTCACTGGTGGAGTGGGGGGGGGGGGGGGGGAACTGATGAAGGAAATAACCTTTTTACTCTGCACTGTTCACCTTTGGGATGTTGGAAAAGTGAGATGTACTATCTCATGAGGGTCTGAACGCAATTCCGTCGTTTATTTTGTTTTACTGCTTCACTGGTGGAGTTTTGGGAACCTGTCAATCTCAGCTGGAATTTTCCATTTTGGGGTCATGGCATAGCAAGGCATCTAAATCATATGACAAATTATATGGCAAAACTCATCAAAATGCGTTGTCTAAGCAACGATATCAGCTAAACCCAGAGATCCAAATACTTTGACTAGCTTGGCTGCTGAATTAAGTTTACGGAGCGCTCACACTAAAAAGCCCTTTCACGCCCATTTCCTACTAATGCCTTTTCAAGTTCCTATGCTATTAGGTTGTCTTTCGTGAGCTTTGGTTCGCTGAACCATGACATACACTGTTAGTGAGCTCAATACTTGTCGGCTCACTTCAGAAGCAGTCAGAACAGTAGGATGGAGTATTACTTTTTTCATCGTGCCCGTCTGCAATTTACTTGATATTCAGCCTTGATAAGTGGGAAGCGGAAACACGGAACGGGACGACTTACGGGGAACCGATACGGGTAATCGTCAGTCTTGAGCCGGATCGCTGAAGTATGCAAGGTATTTGGGATTTGTTAGACCCGGAGATCGAAGAACATGAATCTGCAGGGACTACGGTTATGTTTACCCTGGTGGCATTCGGGCAGTTGGCCACCGGTAGATAGAGTGATCCATTGGTAAAGCGTCGGCGAATAAAGTAGGTTACCAGATCCACCCTATATCTTAGACTATCAATTCACTAACCCTGTAGCGGTTTTGGAAGTGACTGCTTTGACCATCGCCGTACAGACAAAAACCAAGCACTAAGACGTCTGGAGTGCTGAGGCCGTGATGTTTTTCCAAGTGGTACTAGTGATAAGACGACCCTATACATGCACTGAGGGGCTTAGATGTGCCGTGCCCACTAGGACTTACAAGTATGAGGTACATCTTATTCACCCTCGGACTTGCACTGGGTACAGAGCGGTCAGGTACACATAGGACGAAGTAAAATCCACCGTGCTCGAGGTTCACCGAAGACTCAATAGGATAGTCTGAAAAAGGGTAACAACTCACATCCTTTCAAGCACGCTGGTGGTCCGAAAAAGCAAGCGGACAGTTCCGCATGGTACCAGGCGCAATCACACAAGCCACACTTGATGTTACAGTATCATCGTGACGGTTATTTTGACCTGGGTGCGATCAGCCGCGCTTCCGTCACTCAATGAGCCGATTGTTCGAATGGGTCAATTGATGGTAAAGTTGAATTCGTCATAGTTCCAGCTTCGATGGTGCAAAGTCG